GGCGCAGTGGTTAAAGCGTCTGCTCTAGACGCGCGAAGTAAGGAGTTGACCCCTAAATCGCGGGTTCGAATCCCACTATCGGATGAGACTCTGACCGAGGTCCCGTGTAACTGTTGCAGTAGGTACTGGCACGAAAAATATCCCTCCCTGTTCAATGGCTTTAAGTGCCGAGTATAGTGCATCTCTCCAACGCTATTGGCGTCTCCATTTGAGTGGAATATTCTCGAGAGGGACTTACAATATTCAATCAATGAATTTACAACATTAATTTGCAAACAAAATCATCTTATTCTACCCACAGGTACTCTGAAGTTGATAATAAACATATGTGAAAATTTCTTATTTACAAATTTATATAGGGCGTGCTTGATTGGTAGCTGGAATTTTCGGAATTGGCGGAATTACAATCAGGTTCACCGGAATTCAATTCCGGCGCAGTTCTATCAATTCCGTGTTTAGAGGTGGTGTGAAAGGAATTAAAGATGGTAACTACTTGTACATTTGTCAAGAGTGCCGATTAAAATATGTATGAAGTTTTTCCCTGTATTTGGACCCTAATACAGTCTTATAGACCTATTTGCAAATTAAAATTCAATGTTGTTCTCATAATATTGTTCAAATCATGTTAATTTTAAGTTCACTTAAGAGCTGCACACAGCATGAAATTTTGTTCTTTACACCATTCAGTTGCACTTTCATCCTTCATTGCATCTTACAATAAATCATTTAATAAAATAGGAAGAAATTCTTTTTTGTCGAGCTGCAGCCATATTGTGAACTAATTCTGATTCCAGTTTTACTTGATTGGTAGAATTTTTGGAACTCTCAGAATTGAAATCTGACTTTACAATCAAGCGCACCCATAGTCTTCGGAGACAAATTCTCAAACAGACAAACCGTCGGACACACTGTCGGAATTTCAATGGGTACCAATTGCATCCCATTATTAGATCTGTTTTTATATTCCCATGAAGCAGAATTTATTCAAAAGCTTTGTGGCAAAGCACTTTGAAAAAATTACGCACTTTGAAAAAAAATTTCAAATTGCGTTAAATTTGGGACACACTCAACGCACTCTGAAAAAATTCTCAAAGTGCGTTAAGAGTGTACATAAACATTTTTGACCACGGGGACTTATTACGCACTTTGAAAAAGTATAATTAAAACAAAAAATTCTAGACTTAAAATTTAGTTATTGAGAGAATCAATTTTTAACCTCATTGAGAACAAGGAGAAGGCGAGTAGAAGGTCTCTCAGCCAAACTCTTTTTTTCTTATACATTGTACATAGCCGTCGGTAGCAAATTGCAAGTGAACCCTCTACCCTCCACAAGGTAAGCCCAATTTTCAATGCCTATAATATGTATTTCTTTGCAAACTATTTGTGTGCCTAAGCCCCCCTTTCCCTTTACCGATGCCTATGTTACACACAAATATATGTATTTGCATTACTGGTGTGACTTTGAAAAATTTCAATAAATTTAATTAACATAAAATGCATGTAGACAGAAAAAACTAATTACAGTAAATCATTTAACAGAGAAAGAATTTTCAAAACATAGAAAAATCAAAATCGCTCACTTTCACATCCTGAAGTAACCTAATCACTGAAGACTTAACAAAAAGATTCAATTATTTATCATACCTACGATTAACAAAATTATTGACCAAGCCATACACATTTTTTTTCAAAGTGCGTTAATATGGTCGATATTAACGCACTTTGGAAAGAAATTTTATGTTTTCAAAGTCCGTTGATTTGGTCCCAAAATCAACGCACTTTGAAAAAATTTTCCAAAGTGCGTTTTAAGTGCGTTGTAACAAAGCTTCCACATGAGAAGACTTGTTTCGGAAATATCATAGTATGATGATAATAACAACACTTCTTATAGGTTAAAAAATACCAAAACAGGTGCTTATGAGCCATCTTGACTTTTTTTATATGCACTGTACAGAAATATATTATTTCATTGATTTTCATTTAATAGTTGTAATCATTTATACCTAGAAAAACACGCAATACACACACCCCCAAAGATCCTACATTTTCCGCCGTAATGATTGAGAGCACGGAAAAGAGAATATTGAATATTTCTATTAATATTTAGCAAAACTAGAAAATAAGTACTTTACAATAAAAATAACTCCATTATTCCAAAGTGTTCAAAAGCACTTGAAGTAATGACATTTTTAATTTTCAAGATGGCTCATTCAACACACACTCAAGTTTAAAGTTCACAGAAATAGTTTTGAAATAAAATGCCTAATTACGGTTAAAACTATGATCAGCACCCAACTATGCAATCATCAGTTGGCCATTGTTTAAATGAATTTAAATCCTGACGGTTTTGTATAAACAAATTGAGAATGGAAACCCAATATTCGCAGCCAATCAGATGATTTGATCAATCAAAGAATCGACACATAATGATGGACCGAGTGTGATGGGCCGTATCGCCAATACAAAGGGTCCCCAATTTATGACTCTATTCATAAAACAGTCTTCTTAATCATACAAAATCTAATAACTGTACACCCAAACTATTCAAAAACCACAACAGACTGAATGAGCAACAACTGACCTGAATCATACAAGACTATACCACCTGAACGCTCATTTATTCTTTACCTATCCTATTAATCCTTTTAAATAATCACAGATTTCTCGTATTATAATAGACTAGTCAGTGATATCATTTAAACAGCTCAAAATCCAACACAATAATCCTTTTAAAAAAATGTTTTTATTTTTAACAATAGGTTCAAAATCTTGAAAGTCCTCTTTCCCTTTTTATTACGATATCCCAGGGGAGAAAAAAAAACCATGAAGGGGGACAAAAATCTTTTAGAAAATTCTGAAAACCAAAGTAAGAGAATACCATGAAATAAAAAACCACCCGCAATGTAAGGTGAGTCTAAATACCAAGATTGTAGGTTGCCTGAGAAATGACTGAAATGTCTCCATCCTTCGACTGTGGATGCTTGGAGTACCATGGTAATCTAACACGACAGAGCTCTGTTTAATTTTTTTTAAAGTAATTGTTTGCCTCTAAGTAAACCTTAAGTCACCTTTAGTCACTCAGAAGAAAAGTTCTTTGTATACCTATTACACTTTTCTTGTTAAAAAACTAACAAAATCTGATTTATTCTCTTTTCAGAGACTGAATGTGTTAAATCACTTAGGTCGCCAATACATCGTTTCTGTGCTTTTCATTGTTTTCATCTCCTTTTGTGATTATATCTAATTATCTTAAACATTGATATATATCTTTCATCATATACAAAAGCAGAAAAATATCCATATTTCTTATTTCAAAGTCACACAATATTCTAATACTTGTTTTCATCCATTTATTTAAAAGTAAAAAAGAATCAGTTAATTTTTGTATTATGTTGTAATGTTACATGTACTAATAATATTTGTTGACCATCTTGGGATATTTTTTAATGGTATTGATATCAAATATTGATATCAAGAAACACAAACTTTGCCAATTTGTGTTAGAATTTGAAAATAAATAAATTTTTTAATATTTATCGTTTTTTTTAATAAAACCTTGGTCCTAACCCCACAGACAAAGACTTGGACAAATATGCATGCATTTGCTGAAAGCAGAAAAAAAGGTCAAAGATTAAAGAATGAGGTATCTAGACCGCTTGATGAAGGGGGGTTAAGGGACGCAACTAATGAGTTACACCATAACAATACTTGTATGGAAAGCTACACGAAAAAAATTATTGTAAACTAATGCTAGTCCTCTCTAGAGAGATTGTTGATGACCAAGAAAAACAATTTTAATTTTTTTGGAAGGGGGAGGGGAGGGCACAACAAAACATTTTCAGAGAACGCTATCCAGCAAACCAAAAGGAAACTTTCATGCGTTGGGCTTGAGGGGCCATGCATCATTCTCTATCAGATACTATATACATAAATATATGAAAATTATGGACGGAGATTAGCAATGCACACAGGTTCATGGGGGCAGTTATGTTTATCAGTTTTATTCACCAATCAAGGGCCCTCGGGCAGCTTATACGATAATTACAGTATGACTACAATTGGATAATATAGAAATATATTATTTATATATTTACATTTGCAAATGTTTCCTTTATATAACACTACTGAAAGCAAGCGTTTTTATAACTGTATAAATACAGGTACGGGGTCAAAAGGTCATAGATGTTCGTATGGATAATCGTTCAACGTAATTTCTCAGTGACATCATATAGGGCCGACGCGCGTTCAGTGGATTACAAACATGCCGTTGGGTTTGAAAAATAATGCATTTCATATGTTTAAAGTTTCAATCAGGCATATTTAAAGTATGAATAAGTCACTGATGTAAATATAAGTAATAAGGTATAATTCTTCTCGTTTTATTGGGATGTAAATCGGGTTGGCACGTGATCAAATCTTCTAAAGCGCTTCGGGCTTTATTGGATTTGATCACGTGATCAATCTGATTTACATCCAAATAAAACTCAAAAATGATACCTTATTTCTTAAATGAAATAATCTTTTATACTGGAGGTGTATGCACAGCTAGAAGGCATTGTATATACTGAGTATATAGTTTGAGAATAGTTTGAAAAGATATGAAATCACGATATCTATAATTCAAATTTTAAAGGACAGACAAGAAAAAAGAAGATTTTTAACATATCAATGAGACACTTTAATTTTTAATTGAAAAAAAAGTGTCGGACTTCCTTTATTTTTAGAAACATATTTCGGGATAATAATTCATTTATTTTTTCAATAGCACCAAAACTATGAGAGGTATAAAGTTAAAACATTCTCAGTTTATAAGTTTTTTATTGATAAGGACTGTTTAACAGAGCGTGCATGGCGCGCTTGAACACATTTCTATTGGAAGCATAAAGAATTTTGGCGAGCGCTCGCAAACGTTCGCTCTGTTGAACAGCCTCAGGTATAGGTATTTAAATCTATCTGTAATTTACCCAGGAAGTAAATTACAAATCTCGTTCAAGTCTCAACTGAAATCTCATTTTGACATTCCAAAGTCTGTCAACAAAGTTATTTGTAGGTCAATCGGAATCTTAAAGGCTGTAAGTACATGTAATATAAAGATCATTTAATTTATATCAACTTTTATGAATGGTGGAATTAAAACCAAGAAACAGTTTAAATTTATGTACTAGAATAGCAAATTGAATGATATGATACAGTGAAAATGCCAATATTCCAGGTCATCTCAGGGCGTTTAGTTGATATTTTGCGAAGTTGTCAGATTTATATTTCATATATGTATTGAAAGTACAAATAATGAGATATCTAGTAAATGTATTTTTTTTAACTAAATGGAAACAATAATTAAAGACGTATTTCTATGGCACGCAGATTGGTTCAAAACTATTTTTTGCACGACCTTAGACAAAAATTACACGAGCGAGTCAAAACTTACTCAAAGTGCGGAAAATACACACCAAAATTTTGAAATTTACACAAACTATACAAAAACTACACAATCAACAAACTATTTACACGTTATAAAGAGAAAATTACACAAACATAAAAACGAAAACTGTGATCGAAGTGATCGAATCCAACACCGACATAAAATATGACGCATTGCGTACATTTCATTAATATTCATTCAGGCACGTAGCATCGTTTTTGAAAGTAAGGGGGCCAACCTGAGAAAATTTTTTTTTACTTACCTAAAAAAAAGTTGACAAGCAAAAAAAAAAAAATTAAAAAAAAAAATGAAAATTACCCAAACTCGAAAATCCTATTTCGTGTGTGTGTGTGTGACTGTGTGTGTGTGTGTGTGTGTGGGGGGGGGGGGGGGGGGGGGGGGGTAATGGCCAACTTTTCAAGGCAAACTTCCTTTCACTTCCAATTTTTTCCTATATTTTCTTGGAATGTATATACTGTGGTAAAAAGTGGGGGGGCAACCACATTTACAATAGACTCTATAGTAAAGGTAATGTTGGGAGAAAAAGTGGGGGTGGGGGCAGGCCCCCCCTGCCCCCCCCCCGGATACTTCGTGCCTGTCATTAGAGAACAGCTCAGTGTGGCTTGCATGCATGCTTGAAACATTATTAAACAAGAGCATGAGCAGTTAACAATATTGATCTATAAAAAAAGAGGTTCAGTCTTTTAGAATTACGCTAGATTCTTAAGAATATGCACAAAGTGTTTTATAAGTCATTTAAAAATTGACAGACACACAAATATGCATATAACTTAACACCCCGATTAAAACATTCTACACACGTATAGATAACGTAAAAAAGGGATGCATATAACCAGTTGCATCTTTAATTGATAGTTTTTTTTAATATAGTCATTCCTCTGTATATCAATTTCTTTTGAAAGCGCAAAACAATGATACTATCATAGTAAAAAAAAGTGAAATAAAACAACATGTGATATAATACAGAAGAGTTAACAATTAACAAATCAAACTCTTCTCCTCCACCACCCACTGCGTGCACTTTGGTAATAATTAAGGATGTGGATGTGTGACCTTTTCAGATCGAGAGATTCCTTCCTGCTGGTGCTGGAATAAAAGACACCTGTATGCTAATCGATTTAGTTATTCGACACATCGATAATACGTTTTGATTGAAGATTATTATGAATTCATACAGAGATTTTGATGCAATGTTGCCGTTGGAAAGACAAGTAATAACCCATCGAATAATGACCCGGGGTCATTTTTCAACGACAAAAAATGACCCCCCCCCCGTAGAAAAAAATCATTTTTTGTAGAAAAAGAGTCTTAAGAGTCATTATTTTGTATGTTAGTCCTATAAAAAATTGACCCCCATTGAAATGTAAAATGAAACAAAATTTATAACAGGTAATAGGGAAAATATGCTGTATATTATAATTGTTCACCTTTCGAGTAATTCATGCATTTGTTCAAATATATTTTATCCTTGTTCTTCTTAGCACCTAGTAGGGGTAATAAAGTTCCTCATTTCTCTCTGCCAAATTATTGACAAATCAGTTTTAAGCAATTAATAATTAATCAATTAATCATCATTTCTCTGATAAAGGAGCAAACCTAGAAAATCAAAGATGTACATGTAAATGGATCAGACGCACGCTGGAGATGTTTATGAATATATATATATTTTTTTCTTTACTGATTTCAGTAATACATTGTTTCAGAAAAATACATATTCTAATGCAAAAACTATACATGTAGACATAAACTTTTGATTTAGCATACAGTATAGTATTCATTACATTTCTTAATTCTTGTTTTACTCCACCCTTTTACTGAGTTCTGAGTATACTTTTCAAAGAATTTAATATGAAAATCAGATCAAACATTTTCATTTTTGTAACGTCTTCTTTATACTGTATCATAATATGAAAAGTTAATTGACGACCATTTCTTTTTATATCCCTGTAATCGAAGATTTGGGGGTATATAGTTTTATCATGTCCGTCTGTATGTCTGTCTATCTGGCGGCCTGCTTGTCCACAAAAACTTTAACCTCGACCAAACTTTTCATTTATTGGAGCTATGACTTTCATATTTTTAAAATATGTGTATTCCTTGTGACAAGACCTTACTTTAGGTACCATCAAATTTGACCTTTTGACCTTTACATTTGAGTTTGTGACATTTTACACAAAAATGCCAATTTTTTACATTGGCCATAACTTTTAAACAGTAGATACTAGTACTCTCATACTTCTCATATGTATTTTTGGCATGACTTTTCATTGGATACTAAAAACTTTGACCTTGGAGATATTTGTACTTATGACAAAAAACTTTAACCATGGCCATAACTTTTGAACGGTAAGGGCTAGGGTTTTAATACTTCACAATGTGATGCTTGTTACATTAAATCTTTCTTAAGGAAACATCAACTTTGATCTTTTGACCTTTGATTTTGACCTACCTTTCCAAAACTTATCCTTAGCTATTACTTTTAAACAAGTGGTGCTAGGGCTTTCCTATTTTGCAATTGTATTTCTTGTGAGAAGACCCTACATTGGGTACCAATATATTTAAATTGCATTTAAAAAAAGTTTAATCTTCGCAGTGTTGCCATACAAGAACATAGCTGTTTCACAAACAATTTTTATTATATATAAGAGTACTAGTAGTTGCAGATAAGAGATGGATGCCCCAAAGCGTTCAGACGGACGGATGGACATCCCAATCACTATATACCCTCCCACTTTCAAGCGGAAGATGTGATAATATATAATACTGCTCATTTATTCTGTCAGTACGATGATTTCCAGCATCAGAAAACAATGTTTACCTAACACTTTAAACTCGATAAATCTTTTACTCCTTTAGATTCTGAATCATTGCATTGACCTTAAAATATAGCTATAATTGTATAATGTTATGAGATCAACATATCATCAATCTATTTTCAATTAGCTCATGTGAGCATTTTGGCCATTGTTCTTCTTTATCTAATTAAATTTTTGCACACTAAAAATACAGCTTTAATCTACAGGGAGTCATTTTTCTACGGGGGGTCATTTTTCTTCACTTGGGTTCTGCAAATTTTTTGGGTGGTGACTCTTTTTTCTACGGGCAAAAGGGTCATTTTTCTACGTCGATAAATGACCAGGGGTCATTTTTCGCCGTAGCATATTGACCGGGGGTCATTTTTTGCTGTCGAAAAATGACCCCCGGTCATCATTCTATGGGGGTCAATTTTTGTCTGTACACCGGCATCTGGGTTGTGGAATTTTTGCCCGATACATTTTTAGAAGTAAACAATAAAAAAAATCGAGCAGATAATTGCGCAACTTTAATTTTAATAACGAATATATCATTATTTTTAAAATAACTATGAATGTGAAAAGGTAGTACATGTAGTCTTAAATTTCGAACAACATATGTGGTGATTACATAAATACATGTATCCATGAAAATGTAGTAAAATTATACAGTCGTTATACTTATGTAAATTCAAGCTTAATTTCTGTTTTTCTAGTGTAGATTATTTTGAATAGGTAATATATATACTTATAAAGGAGTTTAACAATTTAAATTTATAATATATGGATTCATAAGTAGTATCGCATTTGCAAGTGAGGGGGTTCTAAATTACCTTAAAACCTAATTGACGAGCAAGAAATGTTAAGTTTCCATGAAATCTCGTAAATCCTAATTTGTTGAAGAAGCGAGGCACTCTCAATTTCAATCCAAGAACAAAATAGGGGACTTTTCAGTGGAAGTAGGTTCTGTTTGCCAAAAATAAAAAAAAAACAAGTTGCTGTCCTTTAAAATAGGACTGCAATACGTGGACCAAATTCATGTTTTTTTTCTAACTGAAATTCAATTAAGAAAATTTCTAGGTGTAGAAAATATTCATGTAGGTTTGTTCACTTATTCTAAAATTATCTGCCACTGATAACTGATCGTAGTCTCAAAGCACACATGTGAAATTTTATCTCCGATTAGCGATCTTTAGTTTTGTCAGTTTTAACATGTTTTAAAAATCGGGTTATTTTGACACGTGTTACAAATATTGGCTGGGACTTGACGCCTGTTCTGGATTTATACGGAAGAAATTTATCATGGGAAAAATGGAAATCTGGTGGTTCACGTGTAGCACACCTCTGTACAACGCAGATTTGTTTCTTATTTTGTCGGAGCCCCCATCCCCACCCCCACCCCCTAATACACACACACATTAAAAGCCCTTGCTACAGACCTTTATCAAACAATAATTAGATTGCTGAAATATTAAATTATTTTGCGAGTCTTGATGCACAAAACTTATGCCGGTGAAAACTTGCTCTACTTTAAAAGCTTTAAAAAGCTAAATTTATCTCTGTTCGTTGAGTGACATTTCTCATTCAAGTTGTTTAGTTACATGTACTATATACTGTAACTTCTAAAATGTGTGTACCATAGAATCATTGTTTAGTGTAAAAGTATATATAAAAGACAGGAAATCGGATCTGCCAATGAATATGTAAATGCGATGTGCAGATTTAAAAGCGCGATTTGCCAATGAATGGCATATTTAAATTCGAATAGGGCGAATTATTCTACAGGCAAGTTACCTAAGGTGCGAACTCTCTAGCATTCGCGCGCATGCGTAGCCTG